TAAATTTGTATACATCTTTGTAAAACCAGTCATGCAGGTATTTGCTTAGACTATTCTTGCCCGCAATATTCTGTATTCATGTAGCAAAAATGTCTGAAGTTGAAATAAACTTTATTAAGCCCTTTCCATAAAAAGTGCTTCACAGATATATAATCTATATAATAATAATGAATAATAAAAAGAAGAATTTATAAAATATACAATATGTACAAATACACAAAAACAATAATAATCATAATAAATAAGTCTATAATTCTATAATAAATATGATATAATAATAGTAATCATATTAAACTAATTCGAATACGCCTCATTATATAAATGTGTTTTGAGCTTCTTTTAGAACTGTTCATACTTATTTGTATCAAGTCTTATCTCTTCAGGGAGACTGTTCCATAGAGCTGCACCACATACAGAAAACGCCATACCTCATATGATCCGCATACCTCACACCTCATTCGGTCCTCCTCTTGGGCTGCGAAGCTCCCTAAATGTGGTAGAATTAAAACAAGTTCAAGTCAATGTTACCAATCAAACTCATCCATGTAAAAAGTTTTCATATTTTATGGTTTCAAAATAAATCATACAAAGGTTTAATACCTTTTCTTCTCGATGACAGATGCGACCCAGAGTAACATGTCAAGAGAATCACATGGAGATCGAACTGGACAAGAACACATATTCTTACCTTAACTCATCCGCCTTTCACCTCCGTGACTCGTCGTGCCATGGCCAGGTCACTCAAAGAAGCATCATACTGTCAACACCTTTGAATAGCTGTATGACTATCTCCAAGCAGACAGACGATACCGTTACGTACCAGAACGAAGTGAGAGCTGAATGGACTATCAAGACAAACCCGAATGATACTGTCACCCGTCACGATGCGCTTGTTCTGCCTTTTAACTGTACCTACAAAAGGAGGAAGTATGTCAGCGTTTCTTTCAAGCCAAAACGTCGCGTTGACGCAGAGGAAGGTATAAGTAAACTGTGATACGTGTGCGTGGTAAATATGGCGGGAAAATAGTGACATGGCAACGTGTATTGCGCATGTGTGGTAAATTGGCGGGAAAATCGGAAAAACGTTTGGCAATCTGTACTGCACGTGTTCTGGTAAAATGGCGGGAAACTGGTAGACAAAAATATAAGACAGAGAGAAAATGAGCTAGGTCTCGATTGAGTAAAGAAACGACAACATAAGAAAAATAAAATGGTTCTAGCTAGAAATGGCCTTCAATCCAGGCCTTAACATACTTGAGATGTATATAATATACTTGACCGTAAATTTAACGCGTACAAAAAGTTACCACTAAAAGAAATGCTGCATCCGTTTTATTGTCAATAAATTTCTGACATTAAAAAATAGTGACAAACTAAACAATTGTTTGACATAAAAAGTACATATGTCTTAAACTGATAGCTGATTACTATAAATATATTCCAACAATTATTATTGATCTTGACTCAGGAGCGTTTGGGAACTTCACCTTCCTGATGGATCTGTATTCAGATAACAGCTACACTCATTCATACAACATTAGCGATTACCCAATCAGCGTGCAGCTAAACCAACGACTGTACATCAAGTATCAAGTGTTGTCTGATAAAGCTGATCTGCATGTGTTTGCTGAGAAGTGCCTAGCAACCACCACAACTAGTGAGTCAACCACGCCTAGTTACGTATTCCTCGACAATGGGTGAGAAATTAAATCCTAATAATAGATCATTTAAATCTTGAAGCTAAATGTAACTCTTTAGCTCGGGCGTACATAATGTTTTTCCATTTCAGACCACGTGTCATCCCTAGAGTATCTTTATTTAACTGTTGTACATGACAAGAGATATGGATTTGAATACGACTCAGGAAATAGGAAACATTAATACGCAAAGAGAGTACTCTTTTGTGTTACGCCCAAGACCCCTTGCATGTGACGTCAAAGCAGCTCAATTTGGAGGACAAAACAAAAGAATTTCAATTCTAATGATAATTGGATGCTATTGTTATGTCCTTGAGCTGCATTCCCACGGGCTACAAGGGGTTTATAGGTCCAGTCGGATGGTTTTGAGGTTAATCCTAGAATACCTTAATTATTTAGCTGTAACGTGGACAAAACAATCAATTACAACTACGAACCGAACAGAGAGCAAAACTTTTCCATCCAAGCCTTTCGTTTCATTGCTAACCATCCAGTGGTGTATCTACATTGTCTTCTTCTGGTCTGTCACACCACCTACAATACCTCCAAGTGTGCTGTCGGTTGCCAGAACAACCGAGTGAGGCGTGACATGTCACGTGATGCTCAGGAATCCAATCTGTATCACCTGTCATCTGGACCAATCACTCTTAAGAGGACCATAAAATCAACACCAGGTATCGGAGTATTATCGAACTGTAGGGAGGGTAGGTGGATGCATGGTTGGATGGGGGAGGGGGGGGGGGGGGGGTGGTTGGATGGGGGGGGGGGGGGGGGGGGGGGGGGGGTAGGAAGTCGAGTGAGATGAGTGGGATGGATGAATGAATCCTGTCAGAGTATGGCATCCATAATCCTGTACTTATTATCTCACCAAACGTTTCTTACCATCATTCTTCATTCTAGACAAAACCACAACTCCAGGCGTTACTGTAATAGCGCTATCCTCGGCAGTGGGCATGTTACTCATTGGCTGCTTTGTGCTTCTGGTTCTGCTCCGGCGCAGGAAAAAGCAAACCAGCAAAACTCAGGACGAATCTCAGCCTACACAGTTGGAGGCTTACGATAACCCAGGAGTCAACAGAGAAGACGATCCCGCGGGTCTTAAGATGTCAAATCAACAAGACGATGCGCTGTGAACTAGAACATCTACCATGCACGCTTTATATTGATACAAAATTTATATCGACTTATTTTTGAAATGCTTTTCTTGTTATGCTGCTTTTTCATATTTCTCGTGGCGCTTTGCTTTTTGGCGGGTAAATGGTCAAAAACCGGTCTTAAGATTCTTTTAAAAACGTTCTTCAATCAAACTTTTCTTGTATCTGCTGGATAATTATGATCAGGTCATTTTTAGTTGAATTTTCCATTCAAAGCATCAAGAGGTTAAGTGTTACAGAAAATGTATTGACTCACGACGGAGTACTCGAAATTTTTGTTTCTCATACATCTTTTAAAATATTATGAGGTGTATTTACAAAATCGTCGTATAATGTGCAGTTTTCTCCCCCCCATCCCCCCGGTTACCCCTCAAAACTGCAATGTACTGAGGAATGTGAAATGGTCAATTCATTTGCTTGTAATGTAATGCCAAAATACCTTATGATCTTTCCCTTTGTCTCGATAACAATGCTATACGAATTCTCTTTTTTTTTACTATTTAAATATTTTGAGCTCTTTAGGTGTCATAAGAAGGCGATGACATTTAGGCAATAGGAACTACGAAAAGAATTAAAGAATTCTCAGTGATTTCTGCGCAAACGTTAGTTTTCGGTAATTTTATCATTCTTTTAATTGAATATAAATAACCGAAGACCATACTCCCAGACCCGAATGCTGAAGCGTCGTATGGCAGCGCAAAGCATTTACGGCTATGCCAGAGATTTCGACCCCGACACCGCTATCCCCGGGAGGACTTACAGCCTGGTCAGGAAGCTCGGCAAAAGCCTAAGGGAGAGGTTAGTCGGCCCCTAGAGCGTAAATGATTAACCCCTTGCTATGACCAGCAAACCCGACATGTCATTTACGTTCCTGACCACTAAACACCCATAGTTACCCCTTTCCATGTGGGATGTGTTTTGAACAACTAAAAGGCTAGCCCTGACGTATCCGAGTAGTTTCTGCGCAAACGTGGAGTTTAATTTCGGCTGAAAAAGCGTTACCAAAGCAAAGAGGAACAATTTCTGCACGAACACCAGTTATGTATGATTAGAACGTTATATCCATTGACAAGTGCAGCCTCGTATATCATAGTATATGTACCTACAAATAAAAAAGAAAGGTAAACTTATCCAACTTATCACGTCTTTAGTAGCTACGCTCCGATCCGGAAACGTTGACATTTACTTTACGTTTAAATTCGTACTTTTTTCTACAACTTATTTAACCGTTAGAGCTCTTTCTGTATGTATCAGTCAAAACGCGAAGAAAGGGGTCGGGAATCATTTTTATATAAAGCTGTTAAGTTGTGACGTATTTCCGGGTCCATCTGCTCACAAATACCGCTAAAATTAAGTGAAATGTTCTCAATGATGTAACCATGGTTAATGGAGCGGAAAGGGTTGGAAACCCCATAAAATAAAGGTATTGTTTCGCTATTGAGGTTGAACCGTACCATCACGTACCGACCGTGCACAATGAACCAAAGCAAGTGTGGCTGGAAATACTGATTTCCTTATTATTTTCATGTATGAACATTTTGAAAGTGAAAATTTAAAATTTCATTCGATGTCCACAAACAAGGCGGATAAATCGTTCCGCGCAGATACAGTTAAGTTACTAGATGATAAATAAGAAAGCATGAAAAATGGCGATCATTCCGATCCAATTACCCTTATTCGTATAGGATTAATCGACAAATAATAACTATCTTAAGATGTTTTTTAAAGAAAAGAAACTTCTATATTCCCTAATACTATGAACAAACGGAACAACTTTTCCTTCTCTGTGCACGATCAAGAAAAGAAAAAGAAAAATCTTATAGAACTGATTTTCGTTTTCGACCTGGAAGTCATTTTCGTCCCCCATGATTGACGTCACATTTAAGCAGCTTCAAAGTTCCTTATATAACATAATTATAAGTGATATTTTTWAAAAATTAAAATTAAGTACTAATTATTAGGCACTGATTGGTCGAGTGGGTGTGATCATTTTGCAAGCTCTATTAGAACGTTCGCATTTAGTTCTACCATTTAGTTTTTTTAATCTATTTTCACCACAGAATTTCTATAACCGTTACATTTCTGGCCGTTTAACTTTATGAAGTCCCGTGCATAGATTCTTGGCGTAGTTAATTGATTTTAATCGTTAAGTCTATGATCAAAGTTAAGTAGCCGCCCTAAGTCAAATGGGACACAAAGCAAAGTTTGGAAATTAATTTGGATCGTTGTTTTTAGCGGAAACAGAAGGTATATAAGTCATTACATTGCATTTTATTTGCATTTCAGCTGCATATTCTTAGTTTCCATCATCGCTGCCTCTCGGGTCGCCGTTGGTTCCATCATAGTTAATTTAACTATGGTTCCATTTAGCAAAGGATTAATAATTGGCATCCATTGTGAACGGCATTATTATGGCCGCCATGTTTTTGTCTTTTGACTCTCTTGGGCTTGCAATCCAATATTCTAGGCTTTTGTATACTATAGGCTTTTGAAGACTCCGTTTTCAATAACGAATGTTCGAGAGTCGAATGATGAAATCAAGAATCCAAAAATAAAGTCATTAATGACCTCTACGTGTTCACCCTTTCGAAGCAGTGTTTTGCTGTAGCTGTTACCAGAACCATGGGCTCTTCAGGTAGAACCGCAATTGTGTCCATAGTTTTGGCTATTATGATGAAAAGTGGATTAGTCAATGCCACAACTGTTTTACCAAGTTCACCCAGTCCAACCACTACGATGAATACTTCACCAAGCTCACCCAGTCCAACCAATTCAGTGACATATAGTTCAAACAATACGATGGGAATCAGTCCAACACGCACTAGTGTAGTAACAGCTACAAACAGTGTTCTACCGGTAAATATATATTTCCCCTTTGTATTGATACAATTTATATGTTATCAAAGATGTGTGTTCGGCTGCACAGTGCTTAATTTCGGCAAAAAGAAAAAGTCAAAGCTTAAAAGGTGTTGGCGTGGCAACTGGTATAAACCTGCGTAAAGCTGCTTGTAGGCTATAGTAACCGACGCCTTTTTAATATTTTGCTCCTAGAAAACTGAGTCTTAGTCTATAATGACCATTGAATGATATGCGTCACAATATTACATCTTAAAAATTTATAATTGTCCGTAACATTTTTTGTTGCCGCAAGAAAGTGTTTACCCTGTGTTCCAGAGAAGCCGCTCCTCGACCCTCTGGAACCCTGGGTAGAAAGTGTTGGACGGTAAATTTTGACGAGGCTTGAAATCAAACGCACAGTCAGTCCAGTGAAACCACAGGCAGCCCAATCTCGGTTTTAGTCTGTATGTATATTAAGAATACTCGATATTTACGAATCATTCTTTATTTATTCGTTATAAAATCGTTCAATAGACTTGTATTGAACTTCTTGTGTCTATTTTAGTCGTTATCTGTACAAAAGATTATAGTACTTATTTAGACAAGTGGGATATGAGGTAAGAGACTGGAGGCTTTTTTCGTTGATGAAACGGCATAATTCAACAACACCTAAATAATTTTTGCCAGCACTTTGAGATTTTTCCCGGATAGTTTTCCACTAACTGTTCGATTTTTGCTTGTAAACTGAGCTGTTTACATAGCTTGTGTATTTATTAACAATTATTATTATACAACACGTACGCTTATTTTCCCAAGTGCAATTATAGAGCGATGATACATGGTCTGTAAACCCGTGTTTTGAACTGTTTTTCAGTTTTTCACTGACGTCATGCAGAGCGAGGAAATGTTATTCTTTTTCTTTGTGCGGCTCACGTGACTTACAAGATTGCTTGTTTAAAATAAAAATGGTTGTTTTTCATGCACTCTTTCTCAGTTTTTTCGTGTCGTACGATAAACAATTTAATACACTGCTAGTTGTGTATTACAGCCGGATAATTTTACGAGTGAAAGCGGCCGTATACAGCTTCACGATCGTGTTACCCCTGTCTAGGCTCGACAGTGGTTCGTACACTAGCGTTGGTGCTGCATCTGTCATCGCTGTGTAAACACACTGCCACCCCACCTTTCAAAATAATTGGATTAAGCGAGCAGACGAGAGAACAATGGCAAGCAGGCTAGTAGCCTACCCCGGGGCTCTATATGGAACTTAAGGTGAATTTGATTAACCATATTAACTCTGGACGGTTGAATATTACTGACGTAAGGAGCATCACGCGGTCGCGTTGTTGTTGGTATAGTACAAACAGAGTCAAGTACGGAACGGCCGTTAAAGAAGTAACGCTCATAGGCTATTCAAACCGTTTGACCTTTGGAATGAAAACGTCTGCATTATAACAGCGGACGAAGGAACACGGACACAAGATAAGTAAACAAGTACAACGTTAATTTAATTCAAATAATCGAAAGGGAAAAAAAACCTATAGAAATCCAACCACATTCGGTGTCCTAGTGCCCTTGATTCATACAAAGGTTTAATACCTTTTCTTCTCGATGACAGATGCTACCCACAGTAACATGTCAAGAGAATCACATGGAGATCGAACTGGACAAGAACACATATTCTAACCTTAACTCATCCGCCTTTCACCTCCGTGACTCGTCATGCCTTGGTGTGGTCACTGGAAACATCATCATACTGTCAACACCTTTGAATAGCTGTAACACCATCTCGAAGCAAACAGACGATACCGTCACGTACCAGAACGAAGTGAAAGCAGAATTGGCTATCAAGATAAACCCGAATGATACTGTCACCCGTCACGATGCGCTGGTTCTGCCTTTTAACTGTACCTACAAAAGGAGGAAGTATGTCAGCGTTTCTTTCAAGCCAAAACGTCGCGTTGACGCAGAGGAAGGTATGAGTAAATTGCAATACGCTTGCGTGGTAGATTGGCGGGAAACGATGTAAAAATGTGTGTTACGCATGCGTGGTAAATGGGTGGGGAAAGTCAATAGAAGATATGACAACGTGTATTGCGCATGTGCCGTAAAATGGCGGGAAAATGATGGGTCCTGATAAAAGTCATATATAACAGTATTAGTGTTTGTGAACGCGAAACAAAATACCGGTACGAGAAACCAAAAAAAACGCGGGAAAATGATGTTAAAATGACGTCTAAAATTGATGGAAATTAAATTGATCCCTGGATTCGCCCCTGATTTATTCACTAACATTTTCAAAAACCTCTACTCAGGAGCGTTTGGGAACTTCACCTTCCTGATGGATCTGTATTCAGATAACAGCTACACTCATTCATACAACATTAGCGATTACCCAATCAGCNACTCAGGAGCGTTTGGGAACTTCACCTTCCTGATGGATCTGTATTCAGATAACAGCTACACTCATTCATACAACATTAGCGATTACCCAATCAGCGTGCAGCTAAACCAACGACTGTACATCAAGTATCAAGTGTTGTCTGATAAAGCTGATCTGCATGTGTTTGCTGAGAAGTGCCTAGCAACCACCACAACCAGTGAGTCATCCACGCCTAGATACGTTTTCCTCGACAACGGATGAGAAATTAAATCCTAATAATAAATCAGTCATTTAAGACTTGAAGCTAAATGTAACTCTTTAGCTCGGGCGTACATAATGTTTTTCCATTTCAGACCACGTGTCATCCCTAGAGTATCTTTATTTAACTGTTGTACATGACAAGAGATATGGATTTGAATACGACTCAGGAAATAGGAAACATTAATACGCAAAGAGAGTACTCTTTTGTGTTACGCCCAAGACCCCTTGCATGTGACGTCAAAGCAGCTCAATTTGGAGGACAAAACAAAAGAATTTCAATTCTAATGATAATTGGATGCTATTGTTATGTCCTTGAGCTGCATTCCCACGGGCTACAAGGGGTTTATAGGTCCAGTCGGATGGTTTTGAGGTTAATCCTAGAATACCTTAATTATTTAGCTGTAACGTGGACAAAACAATCAATTACAACTACGAACCGAACAGAGAGCAAAACTTTTCCATCCAAGCCTTTCGTTTCATTGCTAACCATCCAGTGGTGTATCTACATTGTCTTCTTCTGGTCTGTCACACCACCTACAATACCTCCAAGTGTGCTGTCGGTTGCCAGAACAACCGAGTGAGGCGTGACATGTCACGTGATGCTCAGGAATCCAATCTGTATCACCTGTCATCTGGACCAATCACTCTTAAGAAGGCCATAAAATCAACATCAGGTATCGGAGTATTATCGAACTGTCTGTTTTTATACGGGTAAAAAGAACAGATGGATGGGGGAATGAATGAAAGAATGGATGGATGGATGGATATTTGAATGGATGGATGAATGGGAGGGTAGGTGGGTGAGTGGATGGGTGGGTAGGTAGATACCAGGTTGCTGGGTGGATGAGTGGGTAGATAGATGGGAAAGTGGATATGAATGAGTAAGTATATAGGTAGGTGAGTGGGTGAATGAGTGGTTGGATGAGTAGGCTATAGATAGGAAAGTTTAGGGATGAGTGGGTGACTGAGTATGTGTGTGGATGGATGAGTAGTGAGATGGATGAATGCATCCTGTCAGAGGATGGCATACATAATACATACACACTTCTGTACTTATTATCTCACCAAACATACTTTTTTACCGTCATTCTAGATAAAAGCACATCTCCAGGAGTGACTGTCGTAGCGCTATCCTCGGCAGTAGGCGTGTTACTCATTGGCTGCATTGTGCTTCTGATGGTACTGCTTCGGCGCAGAAAGAGGAAAAGCTACAAAACTGAATGCGATATTGAGCCGACACAGTTGGATGCTTACGATAACCCAGGAGTCAACAGAGAAGATGATCCCGCGGGTCTGAAGATGTCAAACCAACAAGACGATGCGCTGTGAACTAGAACATCTACCATGCACACCTTATATACATGCACAATTTATATACATGCACAATTTATATACATGCACAATTTATATACATGCAAAATTTATATACATGCAAAAGTTATATACATGCACAATTTATATACATGCACAATTTATATACATGCACAATTTATATACATGCACAATTTATATACATGCAAAATTTATATACATGCACAATCTATATACATGCAAAATTTATATACATGCACAATTTATATACATGCAAAATTTATATACATGCACTTATTTTTGAAATGTTTTTCTTATTATACTGAATTTTCATAATTTCTTATGCTTTGCTCTCTGGCGGGTAACTGGTCAAAAACTGTCAGAAACTGAAACGTTCTTCAATCAGATGTTCCTTGTGTGCTTTTATCGGTAAGGTAATAATTATCAGTTCATTCTGATTTAAGTTTTCCATTCAAAGCATCAAGAGGATATATGTTACAGAAAAGGTATTGACTCACGACGAAGTGCTTAAAACTTTAGTTCTTCAAAGTTCCATTCTTTTTATTTGTTTCGTAGAGTGCACGCACTAAACCCGTGAATAATATTTTGTACTAATTAGTAGTAATTCATATAGAATCCTTTGCTTCCTATTGTTTGATTATCACTATTTAGTACTAATAATTTGTATTTGTTTCACGGGTTTAGTGCGAGCACTCTATTTAAATGTCATGAGATGTATTTACAAAATCGTCGTAAAATGTGCGGTTTTCTCTTCCCTGGTTACCCCCCCAAAATTGCAATGTACTATTTGAGGAATGTGAAAATGGTCAATTCATTTGCTTGTAATGTAATGCCAAAATAGTTGGGATCTTTCCCTTTGTCTCGATAACAATGCTATACGAATTCTCTTTTTTCCTATTTTAATATTTTGAGCTCTTTGGATGTCACAAGACGACGATTTAAGCTAATAAAACTACGAAACAATTCTGGTAGTTATGGCTCCAAAACTAGCACCAACCTACTGCGCAAACATAGAGTTTCGGATTTTYCCCCCCAAAAACGTAACCGGAGACCACATTCCCAGACTTTGAATGTTGAAGCGTCGCATGGCAGCGCGAAGCATTTACGGCTATATGCCAGAGATTTCGACCCCAACACCGCTATACCCGGGAGGACTTACAGCCTGATCAGGAAGCTCGGCAAAAGCCTAAGGGAGCTATGGTTGCTATGACCAGCAACCTAAAATGTATTTTCCCTCGTGGGATGTGTTTTGAAAAACTATAAAACTAGCCCTGACGTATCCGACTAGCTTCTGCGCTGACGTGGAGTTTAATTTTGGCTAGATCAGCGTTACCAAAGCATATGGCATTCTACTTTTTCACGTTACGTCATCCGCCAGTATATATGGCCGTTATTTCTTTGTCTTTTGGTCCTCTTGGGGACAGTTGAAAACCACCAATTCTAATGGAAGCGCCAGCATAGATCACTCTTAAGGTAATCAGTAGCTTGCATCGCAACCAGGAGTGCATGCACGCAATGCAAGCTAGGTAACCAGTTGCATAGCATTTTGATAATTTTCGAGTGTGGTGGGAGTTTAGTTTCGAAGAATGTTCAAATTGTTGATACACAAATGACGGTTTCCATTCGGATAAAAATTCCCCAAGAGAATGCAGCAGATTATTTTATTAAGATCAACCATATCAAGAATGTAATCATCTTCATTTTATAATTACCACAATCCCTTGCGACACTCATTTATAATTAGTCTCGCAAGGAATTGTGGTACAAATGTCAATAGCAATAATTGACCAATAGAATTAATTTCAAATACTTATCATTGTAATATCAAATAATATTAATGATTATAAAACAATTTGAGCCGGTTTAGTGTGGGGAAACTTAACATACGATATTTTCAAAGCCGCCGAAAGGTCACGTGATTTCCGCAAGCATTTTACATCACGTGGCCAGGAAACACAACCCTCGTCCCGTCTATGCTACATCAACTGGTCCAATCAATACAAAGCTTAAGACGCACTGCATTATGGGTAATTCACAACTTGACTCGGACAAATTTTACACTATGAAATGGAACTTTATAAAATGATAAAAAATACGACGTGGAGCGATTGATATCGACTCAACAATTATTCATGCGGGGAATTTAAACTAAAGCTTAAAATTGAAACCATTTCGCTTAAAGACTCCGGGAGACACTGCGTACCTAGTCAAACCTACTAACGTCATGCTTCTTGATCTGTCATGGGGGTCCTGTGGTTGCTGATAAAGAGGGCCTGGGGATATGAACTGCATTACAAGTGGGTGCTTCGTTTCTAAGAACTTATGACCTGATTATCTCTTTACCTTGGGCGTAGTAATTTCCCATTTCAGACCACGTGTCATTCTGTACAGTTTCATAAATTTAACGGCAGCGCAAAAAAAAATCTTATTCTTATGACACGTGGTCTGAAATGTGGAACCATCATAAACAAACTAGAAACGCGGTCTATTTACTTCTTCATCGATCAGGTAAAGCTACAAACCCAACAGATTCTCATTTAAACCCTTTGAAAAAGTATAAAATAGTCTCTTCTAGCTTATACCATATATCCGTGAAAAAGGTAACTAAAAAAATTGTAAAAATTAGTGCGAAGTTTTGTAGGTTTAATGGTCTACTAAACTTACTAATTTGTACAAACTTGTGAAATTTCTTACAAAGCTTTTCACGGATATATATAGTATGCATTCAAGTAGGGTATCGAGTGAATCAAAAAAAGTTTCCAAGTAGGGTATCGAGTGAATCTAAAATAGTTTTGTTATCAGTTTGCTTGTTCCCGCCAGCAGGACACCCTTAACTGTCATCAGATTGTGCATCGTTTACGTCTGCAGCAAGCGAAGTGCATTGTGGTCTAGCTTGGGTACAAATATCCTTTGTTCATCATGCCTTATATGGTATATTGTTAGTACCCAAGCTAAACCATAATTCATCCTGTTTATTATGTAAACTCAGAAAAGGTCTATGGGAGAACCGACTTAGTACTCGATTAATGGATTATATTCGAAGCACGGTTTTGCTTCACGATTTAACCTATTGCTTTTGACCTATGCACGTTGAGTAAAAGACTGGGCCGAGTTGGCATTGTAGTGCATTGTGGGACTATTTTGGACATATTTCCATGATGGTGTCTATTTCCTCCCCCTAATACAGTCCCACAATAACCTGCAATGCTAACTCAACTCAGTGTTTTCACTCTGCCTCTGAATGGCTTATAGGGTAACCATAAAGCACGGGATAAGTTCAATTGAAAACTGGGCGATTCAAGTACTTTAGTGACCTATGTGTTTGCTGGCCGAGATAATACAATTTTCTGTTCAGCTTTTCTTTTCTCTTCTTGCAAGAGGGTTCCCATCAGACGATTCTTGCCCGGAACTAGCCTTGGTAGGTGTTTGAGGTAATCGCCGCCTCGGTCTACCGCCTGATTTATCGGCCCTTGGGCTCTGAGGCGGTCGTGGATCCATTTTGTTTTCCCGTTTAGTATTCTGGGATGCAGAATTAGTGTTACTATTGAAGGGCGCAGATCCAAAGGGGTCATGAGGTGCGTCTACTAAATCGAGAGCTGGGTTAACAAATGCCGCACCGCTGGGAATCAACTCGTCTTCTTTACTGTCACTATTAAGCGCAGCGCGTTCAGCTTTGGGCAGGAAAGGAGATTTCCCGAAAGCGTCCACCTCGAAAGGATTTTGTGGAGAAACACGGCCAGGATCAGATCCTTGTTGAGCGAACCCATCTCTAGAAGAACCAAATCCTATGCCGTCAGTCTGGTTTTCTAATTGGGGTTCTTTCTTCAACGAAGGGACTTCAAAAGGTGCAGCGCCGAAAACGTCGGGTGAAGTTGGTGGATCTTGCTTCTTCGGTTGCGGGACGCTAAACGGGACAGCACCAAATGGGTCCGACGCCCCAGGGGATAGGGGTGGGGATAGATTCCTGTACTGCATGTGCTCTGGGCTCGCAGTTCCACTGGAATCTGAAGTGTTGGTTTCCTCGTGTCTACTGGGTATGTTATACAAGAAAGGATTGGTAGCAAAGTCCTTAGGGAACTCCCCTGGGGATAATAACGGTGATTCATCAATATCTTTTTTGACCGGCACGCCTGTCGCCTTCTGAGCTGATCCAAGGTTATCAAGAGGTAACACCATCCCGCTCTGCGATTGACTGCTCATGTCCTTAGAAGGAAGATTCTCCCTCAACGATGCAAAATCCATATCATCACATTYATCAGGTTTGACCGCAAAATCAGTATCGTTACCAACATAAAAAGGGCTAAAGGGGTTCCAGTTTTCCTTATCAGTGTCTGTAGTAGTGCTATCTATATCTATTAGTTCAGCCATTGAGGGCTGTGTTTGTTGGAAGGACGACAGCTCTGGGTCACTAGGCGATCGGTGGTAAGGAGATTTAAAGTCATTTGTAACAGCTTCTCTTACGTCCAGACCCATGGCGGCCCTGGGATCCGATCGTGACCGCATGTGCGTTGGCTGCCAGGGTCTCAAGTGTTGGGCGCTCTTAGAAGCTTGGGGATCAGGTGCCGAAAATTGTGTCTGTGGGGGTAACCCTGAGTCAAAGGTATTTGCACCGGAAGAAAAGCGTAGAAAAGGATTTTGTTGGTCGTCGTTTGGTACCTGTGAACCATACTGCAGGTGTGGTTGTTGTTGTTGGTGCTGCTGTTGTTGGTACTGCTGTTGCACAATCTGTTGTTGGCGTTGTGCTTCCTGTTGTTGTAGCAACTGCTGTTGTCTTTGTTGTCGTAACTGTTGCTGCTGCTGTTGAAGCTGCTGCTGCTGTTGTAATTGCTGTTGTCGTTGGAGTTGTTGCTGATGTATTAATTGAAGCTGTTGTTGCTTTAACTGTTGTTCTTTCTGCTGTTGTTGTAATTGCTGTTGGTGTTGTATCTGCTGTTGTCGTTGTTGTTGTTGCAGCAGCTGTTGCTGATAATATTGTTGTTCTTGTTGTTTCTGCTGCACGAGCTGTTGGTGAGTATACCCATGCGTCACCGGAAACCCTTGCCCTTGTCCATAGTAAGCAGGATTCATTTGTGTCGGATTCTCACTCACAATATTGAGCTCGTTATTCCTTCGATTCTGTCTTGGGCTTGCCATGTGAATAATACTATTATTCACAGTGTCATGTGGTGCAAGAACTGTCTTACCCTGTGCCATTGCAAACTCTTTTCTGCTTTGCCTTGGACTGGCTATGTGGCTGAGATGGGAAAGTCCCTGTTGTTGAGCGGCTGGAGTAGGGGCGTTGGCTTGGCCGGCAGCACGTGGTCGCTGACGAGCTGTCAACGAGGTAGTAACGGGACCCTCCATAACCCTGAGGGAGGGAAAATCTTTAGGTACTATTCGTGGGTAATAATAGAGGAGTTAAGCGCAGTTGAAGCAGGGTTTATAGGAGTGGGGGGGGGGGGGGGGGGGGGGGGGGGGACAGGCCACGGTCACGGTACGGAATCGCATCACGCCTGCGCTAGATTATGTTTTATCCAATGAAAAAGCTATATAAGTCCTCAGCATATTTATGGTTCTGACCCCCCTTAGTTAAAGTTGCTATGTCTTATATGGCGACTAATTTGAATGACTATTGTTCTGTACTGACTAGCCTCTCATACATGTGAAAACAAACGATTTACGTTTCCACGTGAACACGATGCTAGTCAGCTGTTTGTCAGTCCAGAACAACAGTTATTCAAATTGGTCGCCATATTTTGATTTGGTGTATGCCAACCTGGTCTTGGGAGCTCTGTTGGATAATTCTTGTTTCTCTTTTACTTCTGGTAACGCTGTAGGTATAGTCGCTTTCTGTGGATATTTGACGACCAGTAAGAAAACTGCATCATATAAATACTCTTTATAATTTACTCAAAGATACTAAAATCGTAATCAAGCATCGTGAAAAAAGTGCAAACAGAAGATTGTTGTCACTAAAATAACTGAAAAGCGAGGGTAGTTTCTATTTCTAGATAGAATCCTTCATGATCATGAATAAGTCATTCATGTTTATATATATGTATATGTATATGACACTAGAAAATTAAAGCGGTTAACGTATGAGTGGGAAACTTACATGTGCATGGAATGACATGCCGTAACATTGAAATGGCTTCCCATAAGAATGGTTAACGATGAGTGGGAAACATAGGATAACCATTCATATAGGAAGCCATTTCAATGTTACGGCATGTCGTACCGTGTACTTGCTATAAGTCAGTACCGTATGTCTCCCACTCATACGATAACCATTCTTATGGGAAGCCATTTCAATGTTACGGCATTGTTGTACCGTGTACGTGCTGTATGTCAGTACCATATACGTGGGAAGCATACAGAACTTATAGCACCGACGTACACGGCACGACATGCCGTAACATTGAAATGGCTTCCCATCGTCTTTTAGTAATTCATCCAATCACATGGTGTAGTTACGGTTAACTTACATTAACATTGTCAATAGGAGACTCTAATCCACGTAATTTAAATGCAATGTGTGCTGTTTGGTATATATCTGGTCTAGTATCTGGGTCTGGGGTCAATAGGTAACCTGGTAGAACAAATGATAGATTGGAGGTTAGTGGTGCCTCGATTATAGACTTTGATGACATTAACGTAGATACCATGAAACGCTGGTACTTGTCACAGTGGCGGATCCAGGACTTTAAGAGGAGGGGGGGGGGGGGGGGGGGTTTTGCAAATCTCAGACCAACAATGACGTTCTCTAGCATCATCATTTTTCCCATGAGGCACATCACTGCCCTAGAGGCGCTCCTGATAAGGATAACCTATCCACCAGTCCCATTTCATATTAAATCTCATGAGTTAGTACCATACTTTTATTTATCTATCTAAAACAATATAAAAAATCCAAGGTACCAGCCGGTGGGGGGGGGGGGGGTTATTTTCACCCAATGAACCCCCCCCTAAATCCGCCACAGTGTCAGCAACATAAATGCTTGTTACTATAACTCACATTATTTCAAAACCACGAGCATCTTCATCACCACCATTACCATTGATATCATTAGCATCATAGTAACTATGTTAGCATCAATGATTATCATCGCCAACGTAACTCCCATCACCTCCACCATCATTACAATCATCATCATCATCACCAACACTGCTATCATTATTTCCATCATCTTTATCATCCTTATCATCATGTACTTACTTATCAAACTGTGAAGCTCCTTAGAATAGCGAGATTTTTCAGGGAATGAGAACTGTGCACTCTGTATTGCTAGAGTACTTTCACCAAAAGGAAGAGTAAAAAAACATAATTTATATAACAGACAACCAAGGGCCTGAAAGACAACACAAGGATATTAGTATAAATAGATTTATTGAAAACAAGTTATGCAATTTACAGGATCCATCCCTTGCTTCTTGGCTGATCAAAGTCAGGGCACATCTAACTCACAGAATGAACCCTGAAACAACCTTTGGGCTGATCTAAGTCAGGGCATGGCTAACCCACAGATCTAACCCTGAAACAACCTCTGGGCTGATCTAAGTCAGGGCATGGCTAACTCACAGATAGAACCCTGAAACAACCTCTGGGCTGATCAAAGGCAGGGAACGGCTAACTCACAGATAGAACCCTGAAACAACCTCTGGGCTGATCTAAGTCAGGGTGTGGCTAACTCACAGATTGAACCCTGAAAAAACCTCTGGGCTGATCTAAGTCAGGGTGTGGCTAACTCACAAATTAAACCCTGAAACAACCTCTGGGCTGATCTAAGTCAGGCCGCATGGCTAACTCACAGATAGAACCCTGAAACAACCTCTGGGCTGATCTAAGTCAGGGCACAGCTAACTCACAGATAGAACCCTGAAACAACCTCTGGGCTGATCTACTTGCTCTACTCACATGTGTTTCAAAGTCTGGGTATCAAACCCAAGACCTCAAAAGAGTAGAGGTGAGTATTAGGCCAAACAAAAAATAAGTGTGTTTTCTGTTGCACGACCAACCCTAATTTTTTTGTTGATTTTTGCCGACCCTAATATTTTTTTCATTTCCAAATGCACCACAGGGTTCCCAGTAAGCTCAATTGCACTGTTGTATCAGTAAAAAAAATCTGACCTACCGACCCCAATTATTTTTCTCATGCAACAGGAAACACACTTATTTTTTGTTTGGCCTTAGTAGTAGTTTTGTGGAGTTTTTTTGAACTTGTTGATGATTACCCATATGTCTGACTTGGTAGATATGGTCTTTCCACTATACAAGTCAACCATCTCTGGTGCTCTATATGATAATGTTGTATACTTTTGGATTTCTTCTTCTACTATTGTGGGTCCTTCAGCCTAAAAGTGAAGGGAAAGGGAAATTTCAGAATGGGAGAATCTTAATGTTTTCCCATTTCAGACCACATGTCATTCTCATGATATAAAGATTCTTTGTTTGAGWATATTATATATTCTTATGCCAGTGGGGGATCCAGGAATTCAAAAAGGGGGGTTCCGAAATGGTGTCAGGCAGAAAAAGATGTTAATATTGGTTTCATAAAGGTGGGGTTCCAATATTTCATTCCACTGAGGGTAAAGAACATGATTGGCTTCTCAAGATCTCACTAGAGGGGGTTCCATGAAACTAACAAAACCACCCCTCCGTCCACCACTGTATGTGCAACAGTTAAACAAAGAAATGATACTCTAGGGAATGACATTGCTCTGAAAGGGGAATCATACTACAACCAAGGTATAGAGGTTTATTGTACTTCTCGATGAGACATACATGTAAAACTGCTTTGTTCAATGAAAATGATTTTCAGGGCTGAAAATAAGAGTGACATTGTCAAACGTCATCCTACCTGAGGATTGGTTTCTTTCCTTGTTGCACTACCAAAATCACACAACACAAACTCCCCTCTATCACTACGCAATATATTTTCGACCTGTAAATACAAAAAGAAACTAGGATAAGATAAATTCCAAAAATAATCTAGATGCTGGACCTTTGGTACCAAACTGCCATTTTTATATGTCAATGAGAATTAAGAAACATTTGTTTACATCAGTGTTGATTATGTGATTATGAATTTCATGTTAATCATACCGTCTAAAAAATCTGGATTTTTGATTCATGTCATGGTGAATTTAGGAATTTTAGAAGGGGGGGGGGGGGGGTGTGTCAAATATGAAGGTTATACCAGGAATGCGAGGAAAAGGGGGGGTTGATTACTAAGGATAATACTGAGAAATTTGAACAAAAGGGAAGTTGTTAGCCACCCTCCCGGGATCCACCCACAAAAAGTATTAATTCAGACTATTGGCTAGTGGATCAAAGGTAAAAACAACACTGTTTGATGTTTTTCACAAAGCAAAATTTTAGAAAATAAAAACGTTTGCAGATACCTTTAAATCTCTGTGAATGACAGGAGGGTTGGCCTGGTGGAGGTGTGCCACTGCTTCACATGTGTCTGTAAAAATCTTGAGGATCAATGATTCACTGAATCCATCATTAATGTGTTCATTCATAAGCTGTACAACATGACCATCTGAAAATGACAACATTCAGATGTGAATGTAATTTTGGATAGTGTGGCCTTTAGACCACCCGCCTTTCCACCTCTTTGTCTACCTCTTTTCTGCCATGTGTCCCTCTGCCCAGCATCCCTCCCCCCTGTATCCCTCTGCCCAGTGTCCCTCTGCCCAGCATCCATCCCCCCTGTGTCCCTCTGCCCTGTGTCCCTCTGCCCAGTGTCCCTCTGCCCAGCTTCACTCCCCACTGTGTCCCTTCCCCTGTGTCCCTCCCCCTGTGTCCCTCCCCCCTGTGTCCCTCCCCCCTGTGTCCCTCTGCCCAGTGTCCCTCTACCCAGTGTCCCTCTGCCCAGCAACCCTCCCCCCTGTCTCCCTCTACCCAGTGTCCCTCTGCCCAGCATCCCTCCCCCATTTGTCCCTCTGCCCTGTGCCCCTTTGCCCAGCATCTCTCCCCCCTGTGTCCCTCTGCCCAGTTTCCCTCTGCCCAGTGTCCCTCTGCCCTGTGTCTCTCCACCCTGTGTCCCTCTGCCCTGTGTCCCTCTGCCCTGTGTCCCTCTGCCATGTGTCCCTCTGCCATGTTTCCCTCTGTCCTGTGTCCCTCTGCCCAGTGTCCCTCTACCCAGTGTCCCTCTGCCCAGCAACCCTCCCCCCTGTCTCCCTCTACCCAGTGTCGCTCTGCCCAGCATCCCTCCCCCATTTGTCCCTCTGCTCTGTGCCCCTTTGCCCAGCATCTCTCCCCCCTGTGTCCCTCTGCCCAGTTTCCCTCTGCCCAGTGTCCCTCTGCCCTGTGTCCCTCTGCCATGTGTCCCTATGCCCTTTTCCCTCTGCTCTTTGTCCCTCTGCCCTGCATCCCTCCACCCTGTGTCCTACATAGGCTATATCTCATTTCCAAAGACATGACCAAGCTCTACATCCTTTAAGGCTGGTCCTCACTAGTGCATAAGTACAAGCACATCCTCACTGGGAAATTCAGTGACATGAGTAATACTTATGTTATGCTTATGTCTCCAGGAAGGACCAGCTTTTAAGGGTTGCATTTTGTAAAATATTGGTAGCAGTATTAATCAATAATAACAAATAGCAGCATACCTTTGCAGTATTCCATGAGAATAAGAACCTCAAATATTTCATTGCTGATTTGCGTTATTGATGAGTCGACAAAAGTTATAGTATTTTTGTGCCCAGCAACAAGTTTCTATTGAAAAAAAAGATGAAAAGATGTTTGTACCAAGGTATACCACAATGATCGCTTTCTCCAAAAAGGTCTGTATTCCCAATAAAGCTCAAAATGGGAGATAATTTAACAATCCTACTGTCATTAGAACTTAAATTCATTGTTTTTCCTTAAAATAGGCTTAATTCATTTTGGTACTATTTTTCCCATTTAAGACCATGTGTCATTCCCTAGAGCATCATTTCTTTGTTTAAGGTTTGCGCTTGGTTGCACATGAGAAGACACATAAATATGGATACAGCTCAAACAAAGAATCTTATTCTCAAGGGAATGACACATCATTGGTTTGAAATGGGAAAACATTACCCCAAGTCGAAGAGGTCTATTAAGGCACTTTGGGGATTGCAGCAAGGTTGGGTAATTTATTTCGTGCAGGAAATTTTTTTTACGTCTCATGGCTGTGCAGGAATTTTTTTGGGACATAATTTGGATTTTTTCTGGCACTTTTCTTATGCACGATTTTTTTTCACTCTTTAAAGCTGTGCTCAAAAGTTTTTGGGTTTTTGCCCAATTCCCCTCCCCCCTCAAAGATCTAATGGTCTGTCCCTTAGTTGTCTGTACTCACCATTATACCAATCTCTTGTTTGCAAATATCTAAATCATGTTTATTATTCACTGAAATCCTTTTCAGAGCGTATCGTCTACCATTGGCAGCCTTAACCAGCAATACAACTGCAAACCCACCTGTCAAAACAATTATGCATAGTTCTAGATATTACATACACTCTAGTTTGATGTATTTCCTTTACTAAGCCCCCTTGGGGCCTATTCTCTTATACTTCTTTTTTAATGCTTTTGAAGTGGGGGCTTAATAGAGGAAATACACTATCATAGTTTCATAGAAGGAAACTTAATCATGTGTCATACAGTTTTATAAAAGCTCTGTTCTTGGAAAGGCACATGAATGACAAAAGCCCATATTAAAGGAAGCATCTTCATCTACATACATTTCAAATTTATTGAGAGCAACATCTAATATTTTATATGTTAAGTGTATGCTACATTGAGTGTATAAGCTAATATTTTGTCTAAGAAAAACATTTTGCACAGATGACATTGAATGTCTTTGTAGCATATGATCATAAATGAGGTCTGGGAAAATTCATAAATAATTTGACTTTTTTATCATAATGTGCTGAAAAATCTTGTAATGTTTTATCATCTTATCATTGTTATTTGACCATTAGCCGGCCATTTCCTTATTCCTCCCTCCCTTTGAAAAGGGATTTCTGATCATATTTAAGATCACATTGACTCTGCTATATATTTGAGATTAAGATGTGGATAACTGATAAAAAAATTAGTTATGAATTCAGCTAGACTTTTAACATATTATGAATGGATGTTAGAGTACACGCACTAAACCCGTGAAACAAATACTAACTTTTAGTACTAAATGGTGATAAATAAACAATAGAAAACAAAGGATTCTGTATGAAATAGTACTAATTAGTCCTAATTAATGTTCACGGATTTAGTGTGTGCACTCTATCATCAAAAAGATACAATATTTCTATTTCCACAGATCATAAATACTGCTATGGGCGCTAAATTAAAGTTTGAACGACGTGTGACAACCAGTTGCTTGGGGGAAAGCTAGGTACAACAAAGTCAAAGAATAACCAGATTATTATTTATTATTATTATTGTAAATGTCTTTATTAGTAATTATAATACATTGTTGTTAGTGTGTTATGTAACCAAAACAGGCCAAGAGATTCCTTAAGAAAGCTAAAGCGAAACCTGGCTCACATTTCAAATCTATCTAGATTCATATGTCTAATTATGAATATTTCAAAAACATTTAGGGACCCCTTTATCAGTATAAAGTCACTTAATACAAAAGGTATACAAACTAATATATCCTCTTATGGCTCAATATTCAAGTACTTTCCCTTCTAAAACAAGTAATCTTCTTACCATATGCAAAGGATTTAGTGAGATTCAGGTACCTAAGATATGTAATATAATAACATTTTGTATCTAGATAGCTCATGTGACCTTTGCTATTCATATGCCAACCAGACATTCATTGGGTGGTGACAAAAAACAATTTCTTGACACTATTTAGTAGAAACGGTTGGCATATTAATATCACGATGAATTTGCTAGTAAACATGAAGTATTGCACATATTTATAACTGAAGTACAATTTAGGATGAGTTTGCAGATATTTATTTCAACATTTTTCTCAAGGGGAGGGGGAGGGATTGGTACGAAAACATTTGGGCCAAGGCTATTTATTCTACTCATTTCCTGGAAGGCAGGGAACTCCTTTCTGTTACTAATTTTTGACATTTCAGTTTTCTTAACAAAATCATTAATAATTCATGAGGAAAACACAATAGAAAACATGACCGTGAAGAGTTTAGGATTTATTTGGGCAGATTCACTTTTACCTTGAAAATTTTAGCAAAACACAAAGGAACTAACCTAGACGTTTGTTAAGCAATATATACAATATTCGTGTCCTTGTTGTATACGATATATAAACTCTTGGCTACGCCTCAGGTTTATATATTGTATACAACACGGCCACTCATACTGTATATATTATATATAAATTTTGCTTGTACCATAACCTGGTAATAAAAACCAGGTATTTTAAATATTAAGATAACAATCCAATAATTATGAAGAAGGGGGAAAAATCTTAAAATATAATTAAGCTAGGAATCCTATTCTTTCACTTTGGTTATAGATTTAATCTAAAACTAGGCATAAACAGGAACTACAATATTTTGAATATTTTAAAGAAGGTAAAAATAGATGAACAATATTGTACTTTTCTTTGTCAAAACTCGTTTTAAAAACCAAATGTTGAAATTTAGAAATGGTAAATCTATAAATTTAACGCATATTATACTAGTATATAAGGTCTAATTTGGAACATTTTAGTAGACATTCAGTTGCTTGGTGTCGGTTACATATTATCTTACATATTATCTTTAGTTACAGATATTAAGTTACACATCTTAACTTGCAGTTATGCACTTAGTATTTTAATGTTTAATGGTAATATTTAAGGTTGAAAAAAATAAATAAACATCGACAAGTGAGTATTTAATGTATTACATCAGTGTTGTAAACGCGAAGGAAGTCTTCAAAACAATTCCATCTCAATCTGGACTAATACCAAAAATATTTACAGTACAACATTCTTTATCCAAGGCTTCTTCTACAAGAATCTTTAACATAAACTTAGAAGATATTCAAGTTATCAGGTAGGTTCGACCATCACTACACTAGTAATGTATTAAGCGGTAGTGTTTTTGATTTGACAAGCCTGAGTTAAGATTTCCTTACCTTCGGCTATAACATCTTCTACTGTGCAACTGTATCTCCCGACACGATAACTCTTACCAACGAAACTGTTCTGTAAATCATTCGAAGTACTCGACGAAAAGAAAAGCTTCTTCATTGTAAAAACCTACGTTGTTTTGCCAGAGACTAACTATATGTATTGGCTATTGAGATTACATGATACAATACTCGTCGATGACAGGAAAGACCGGTATTTTAGAAGAAAAAGTCGCTAGGTGGAGTGATTCTTGCTGAACAAAATGGCGGACTTGGCCTTCCCGGCATTCAGAGTACGACAACCAAGCCATTTCCGGTTTAAAGATCTTAGCGCCCAGTTTCTTTGAGAATGAATCATACACAGGAAGCCCACTTCTGTCATCAAATAACATTGATTTGACTTTAACTATACCGCTTAGAAACAGCTTACAAGCAGGTTAGGAGCACAAGCCAACAAATGTGTTGCAAATCTTTTCAAAAAAATGGAAATCCCACTTTATTGATTTTATAAGCATTAGACGGTAATAACAAAGCGACCGTTGCGTTTAGAAAGACAATCCAATAAATTTGTTGAAAATCGTTTCAAAATAAATAAATAAATAGATAAATAAATAAATAAATAAATAAACAAATAAATAAATAAATAGATAGATAGATA